AAAATGAAAAACAAATAATGAATGAATCCAAAATAAAAATTAAAAATAAAGAAAATGAGAACCAAATCTAAAAAAGATATAAAAAAATCAATATTATAGATATAAGGATGAAATTAAAAACAAATTAAAATTTGATAACAAAGATAAGAATCAAAATTAGGAATCAAAACATTGAAGGTTAAACCTTAAATACCATATAAATTTGAATTGAAGGGAAAAATTAAAAAGAAAAAAAATTACAAAAGAATCCAAAACAAAAATAAAAATCAAGAGAATGAGGATCAAGTATGAAAAAAATAAAAATAAGATCATGGATCTAATGATGAAATTGAAAAGAAATTAAAATTTCATAAAAAAACCAAGAATTTAAATGAAAAATCAAAACAGTGAAGGTCAAATCTAAAATATTATAAAATAAAAAGATAAATTTGATATAAATATCAAATGACAAAGGATGCAATTGAAAAAATAAATAATTGTAATTTGACACAATTAAAAGAATGACAACTAAATATAATAAAAATAACAAATAACATATTTTCCAAGGCTGAAGAGAGAAATAAAAAAAAAAACATGTTATTGGAACTCCATCATACATGGGAAGGAGGAATGCGCCTCACCACCATGAAAGGGGTGGCAAGACGCATCCAACATCACCTTGACATACAGTGTTCTTTTATGTAGAGGTGTCACACATGCCACCCAAAAGACACGAACGCCTTCCACATGCTAACATGTGTGATGCACACACCAATAATGTTTTTTTTAAAAAAATTATTCTATACAAATATCAAATTGCCCCTGATGTAATACAATATTAACCAAAAAAACATTAAAAAAAAAAGGTTGAAAACCTCCTCAATATTAGTTAAAGATGATTTGAGTCAAAGTACACTTAAGTAATTATATTGTTCCTAAAATAAGAAAAAACCAAAAACATCCCTACCTGCGCAAGCAAGGGAATTCAACATCTAAGGGTATTATTAACAGTACATTGTACCAATAAAAGTTTAAAAGATCACTTTACCTCCACCTAATCTTATTAAAAATAGTATATTACTCTTGGATGAATGTTATAAGGCTTAAATTATAAAGGACAAAATAGTTAAAACACTGTTTGAATTCACAGTATTTCTCCTCACAATGTATAAAAGAAAATTGAGTTATTTTAGTTTTTTTTGTAATTGTTGAATATAGTTGTGATGGCCTAATTAGTTGTTTTTATTGATTTATAGTCATAATAGTTAATTCATTTTTCATTCAATATAAATTAAATCTTGAAGACAAACTATAAGAAATGATATTAGCATGCCATATTCAACTAATCGTTTTTTATTCAAATTGAAATGGATGTTTTAATTATAAATTATATAATTAATTTATGTTTTTTTTGTAATAAAATTTATGTCAAAAGGAGAAGTGATCATTTTCGGTTCAATTCAATTTCAAGATTTAAAAAAAAAAAAAAACAAACCAAAATGGTTTCTACATTAAGTATATATATAATTCAGAAGAAACAACTAGAGGAAATACCTAAATAAGAAAATTATAAGCTTGAAATTCAAAATATAAAAACACATTTCAATTTTGGACCACAAATCTGCTTCAAGATAGGAATAAGAAACTTATAGAGAACAAAGAGGTTGCATCATTATTAATAAAAAAGCAACATGAGATGAAGATGGAGGTGAGGAAGCTGTGATGGAGTTTGAGAAGAAAAAAAAAAGGTAGACTATAAAGACAGAGAGAGTCACTTTGTTGGAAGGGTGGGAAATTAGGGAACTTGGGTTTTCAAAAAAAAAAGTTTTTATATTTAGGTTTATTAGTTTGATTTAGGGTTCAAATCAAACCAACTTAATTTAAAATGGTCTTAGAAATATTAAATCGACTTAAACCAAACTAGAGATTTTTTTAATTAGTTTTTTTCCTTGGTTTTTTTTAGTTAATTGTTTTGGTTGTTTTTTTTTTTCCTTACCTCTATTTTAAATAATTCATGTGACCCAACAAAGGAATAAAAAAGGCAAGTGTAAAAAAAACACATTAATAGAATCAAGTATTGTAATGATCAACCTTGAGGGGTGTAGCTTAACTAGTCAAGCCATGGGTTTGCTCCCTAAAAGTCACTAGTTTGAGGGCCATAAATTTCAAGACCACTAAAGGTTTACCTAGTCGTTAACTTTAAAATCTTGAAAAATTAATCAAAATGTGTGTAAATTGGCTTAAACACCCACGGTTACCAAAAAAATATGATAATGATCATATTACACAAATTAATTGGTAAATGTACTATAGTAAAAGGAAAATTTATTGTTACATTGGTAGATAATTATAATTTCAGTTGAAAAAGGTAATGATCCTATAAGGAAATTCTATATGTAGAAATAATTATAATTCAAGGATCAATGAAGTTTATAATGTTAATAAATTATAGGGTGTCACAACAAGTTAGAATAATTTGCACTAACTATTTTGATGAATGCGAACATAATTAAATCAAATCCTATAAGGTGTGATTTTTATGCAAAGAATAGTTATATATGGTGTAATATTAAAACAAAAAAAAACAATAATGCAAACAAGAAATTAAATATAACGGACTTGATTTTAGAAACAAGTTTTAATACCAACTAATATGAATCTAGAGGGCAAAACCTTGGAACCTACAATTAAGAATTGCAATACTTACCTAAAAATACTAAAATCATATTATAAACCCTAATCTGTTGATTATTTGAATCAGGAAATGAAAATATATGGTTAGAATACCACAAATATGATCTTTTTTATAAGTTCTAGAAAGCGCAATGAAAAACCAAAAGTACGAGTGTTCACGTAATTTTTATTCAAAAACTAATTTGTCTTCACATCCCAAAAATAAAAGGTATTTTTATGTTTGTATAATATCTCACGTCGGCGGGTGAGGAGTTGGTTATTGGCCTTATTAGTAGTGCTGGTTACTAACTTGTCAGATGAATTTTGGGGTCATACTTGATTGCCAAGAATAAATTCATGAGGGTGGTAAGGCTTAAAGTGGATAATATCTAGTAGGTTGGGTTGGGTTTTGTCATTTGGTATCAAAACCGACCTCACTAGCCGTCTAATGGTGTCGACGAGGTCGTCAGGCTCTTTAAGGGGGGTGGATTGTAATATCTCACATCAACATATGAGGAATTAGTTGTTGGCCTTATTAGTAGTGGTGGTTGTTAATTTGTCAAACGTGTTTTGAAGTCATGCATGGTTGCCAAAAACAAATCCGTAAGGACAGTAAGGTCCAAAACGAACAATATCTAATAGATTAGGCTGGACTATGATAGTTTGACCTAAATAAAAATAAATTCTAATTAATTATGAGCTGAAAGTTAAACCTAAATAACTAACTAGCTAACTTGAAAGTATGGGTAAAATAAAATACAAGCCTAAATCTTGCATAATTGAAAGCCTAATGTGAATAGTAACTTCTATGTCTTATCGAACAGCCTTCCAGATATTTAACTACTATGAAATTTTAACCTTTAAGAAATAGAGCACTTAAAATCTTTTGAAAAAATATTAGCCTAATCAAACAGTCGAATTGAGAGTTATGATCACATAAAGTTATGCAGTCAAACTTCAATACATGTTAAGTAGCCCAATTTCTTATGTGGATCACATTGATCAAGGTTTAATCCTCCTTTGAACAACCAACACTTTAAAGGAATTCTTTAGAAGTCATAAATTAGATCATTGAATGCCTTTTTAATTCTTTTAGCTTTTGTTTTTATAATTGATTCAATCTATATATACAATACATCTTGTAGTGTTACTTGTTAATTCTCATCATCATATAATTTTATTTTTTAGCAAGCCACTTAAGAGTTCCTAACCTTTATTAGCAACCTAGATTAGGTCTCAACTTATTTTTATCTCAATTAGATCTCAAAGATGTCAATGAATTTTTAATATGTTTCAATTAAAAATGCTAACTAGATGCTTAAAACTCATGCAATTTTTCTTAACTATTTCCAAACCATTGAATTATTTAATATCCCCACTTCAAAACATATGATTATAAATTTTTTTATTAAATTCATATCGTTTTTACTAAAGCGAAGAGTTTTTTTTTATTAGAAGTTTTTGTTAAATATTAAAACTAATAAACAATATGATTGATTAATCTATTAATATATGAAGGATCTCCAAGGACTAAGTCAAGCTTGTCTCTATAAATTAAAGATTTTTTTTTTAGGTTTTCAATCTTTAAAACTGAAATGTACGCATGGTATTGTTATTAAACTCCTACAATCAATCTTCCAATATTTTGTGTTTTTTTTAGGTTTTTCATCTTTTAAACTGAAATGTATGAATGGTATTATTAAACTCCTACAATCAATCTTTCAATATTTTATGTTATTACTATACTAAGTTGCATACTAAGTTGCGTAGTGATCTAAATAAAGAAGTCAAAGCAATTTAAATTAGTTTTTTATTTAGTGTAATTATAAGAAAAATACGTGTAAATAAAACTCAGATTACAAAATTATTCTAACAAATATAATATCAAATTAAAATCTTAAAATATAACAAGCATGCTTCAATAAAATAGCATAAATAATAATTAAACAATTTTTTTTAGTAATATTTTATAATATGATTTGAATGAAAATATGTTATTGTTGAGAATTGATTTTTTATTTTTAATATTTTATAATTCTAATAACCAAAATAATTCTAATAACCAAAATAATTCTAATAACACCATGTATTTCTCAAAAAGATGCATAAACACAAGGTGATGAAAGTCAAAATCTCTCTATAAAAGAAATAATCTAAGCTTTAGAACATTGAGGGAGAAAGGGAAAAGGTAGAGGCAAAAGAAACTGAAAAATAGTAGAAAAGAAGGGAAATAAGCTATTGTGCAATGTGGAGAAGTAAGGGCAACATCAAAGACAAGTTTTAATTGGGCACTCGACACGCTAACAGGAACACGCTAACGATACGTTATCCACGCGCATGGCAAAGTTTTCATGCGACCTTCGAAGCTTTGCTGTCTTTACGAGAAAAGCACCCCCATCCTCGCGAATATTCTCCATTGCCACCCACCACTAACAAAACAGCAACTTGCTCTTTCATTAAATACAATTACTCCCTCTCTTCCATCCATGTTCTCTCTTCTTTCTTTCTATGCATATAATTTGTTGTTATTTCGATCTCAGCCATCGATCGATAATTTCCATCCATCAGAGCCACAACCATCGTCAAGCACGATCTTCAGGGTACGAAACATGACCTGCTCTTTAACTAGAGCATGTTCTTGTTCCTTTTTGTAGTCACTTCTCTTGTTATCTTTCGTAGGACCTGATTCTTCGCTGGTTCTTTAATGTTTTAGGTGATCACGATATGAAGAACAAAGTAAAGGGCGGTAATATTCACTGTCAGCAAAAGAAGAGGAGAAGTTATGGCAAACCTAAATGCATGGCGTCTCGTTGTTGCCCTTGTTTTGCAGTGTCGTCAATAGCTAGAAGGATGGGGAGATGCCTGTTTGTAAGCTGTTACCCTGTCATGCAGTGCTTTCGATTGGATGACCACAGACATCAGCATGACCATCACAAGCATTTTCATTCCTTCTGAATTTTGTATCATTTTCTCTTTTTTTTTTAAGGTTTGGTCCAATCACGATTTTTTGAGTTTGTACCATATTAATGAAGAAAAGAAGTTGTTATATGATTCTTTGGTGTATTTATTTATGCAAGGATTTTATGATCAAGCTACCTTGATTTTTGGCCTCAGTACTTGCACAGTCCTATATGCTGATTGCTTTGTTAGAGACATGAAGGAGAAAGAGAAGAAAAGGAAAGGTTTGGAGGTTGTATAAGAGATCGGTTGAATCTGGGGAAGCTGAACACTTCGAGGAATCAAAGTTAGTAGGGAAGGTTCTGTGCTTTATATAATTGCTATCATCCGGCGCTTTATGGATTTGGAGAGCTGATACTCATTCATTGCAGCATTTTTGTCTCAACTGATTTAATCAATTATTGGATTGAAAATTCATGTTGACTTTGTAAGCATACATGTTTTTGAGAATCAAGTCCAGGCAGAGCTGCCTGGTAACCAGGGAATTCTATTAAAATCTTTGGTTAAGGCCATCTCTGATTTGATTCTGTAAACATCAAGCATATGCTACACGTATCATTGCCAAAAGTCAGGGAAAATCAGAAACAGAGTAATCAATGATTCTGTAAACATCAAGCATATGCTACGCGTATCATTGCCAAAATTTGCCTTTTGTAGTCAGGGAAAATCAGAAACAGAGTAATCAACACAGAAGTGAATTATGACCATGATTGGATTTTTTAGACATGTATATATGTGATTCATAGCACAAGTGGCGCCTTAGGTTTTCTCCAAGGGCATCAGTTTAGAACGATCTGTAGATTCAAAGATGGATATGGGTAACAAAATTTCTTGGGATGGGTGCAAGGCCCAGAAGTGAACTAAAAACTAGGCCATTATTTAATCATTCAGAAAGGTCAAAGCTCAACACCTGCCTGAAGAACAGAAATGTAAAAGACATTAATGCAGCAAGGAAGTCATTGAAGTCATTTTAACTTAAGAACAAAATCAAAATCGATTTGGTTTATCTTAAACCAAGTTCATCTAGTGATAACAAAATGTGGACTGCGGAGGATTGTTCATTATCTGGCTTCATTCCTCTGGTAATACTGATAACTAATGTTCTTAAAAAAACCCACCATGAACATAATAATTAACTTCTGCAGTTCATCAAATTACATCTTAATTTCACCACATCTGATTGTTTGAGGGGCTTTAGCATGAACATCTGTGCTCCTTCCTCTAAGCACCTGTTTTGCGCAGTGAATCACTTAGAGTGAGCGAGGGGCAAAAAATAAAAGCTTGCACAACATGTTCATCAGAAATAGCAATCTCTTACTTGTTAATACGGGTTGGGATATTCTCAGAAGACATAATCACAACAGGAATCTCCTTCAGCATTGACGATTCCTGTTTGTGACAAGGAGACGTGTTAATACGTGGTCAGCATAATGGACCTGGCTGGGCACCCAAAAAAACAAAAACGATAAGGATACCTTTATTTTCTTGAGTAGCTCATACCCTGTCATTCCTGGCATGCAATAATCTGTAATTATTAAATTCACCTTTGAGACCTGTAGTGTGGACAATCAAACATGAAGACAGCCATTACTTTTTGTCTTCGTTTCAGCTCATGTGCATGCAATTGATTATGACATGAACAACTTACATTATCCTCCAAGGAAGTCCTTTTCTCATCTCCCAAGCCCAAATACTCCAACGCCCTCAGCCCATTCTCCGCAGTAGTCACTGCAGCAAATCAAATTAGTTCTCGAGCATGTGTTTATAACTCCGCCCATTGTCAATCTACACGTTCTTCTTGTCTGAAGTAAAGGCAAAGAAAATGGAAAGAAAAGTGAGATTGGTTTTACCCTTGCAGGAAGAGTTCTTGAGCAGTCTTTCCACCAGCTTTCGATCAACGAGACTGTCATCAACAGCTAAAACATGGGGTTCTTCCGTATATGCTCCTCCCGCCATCACATTCTCCCGTGACCCACCACCACCATCCATATTCTCCCCCCAAGGTAGAGCAAGAGGGAGCCCTGTGTACGAATAACTGAAACTGTAACAAAAGCTTTGCTTGCAGCAAATAACTAACACAGAGGCTAAAGAACACAGACCCTTTATTTTCCAACAGAGTCTTACAAATAAAACACAAAGCAAACAAACTCACAGGAGTTGTATGAACGCTTTATGATGTGTATTTATAGTGAGAATGAGAAGCCCACAGCACAATGAATGTGAAACATGCTGTTAGGTGAGTAGACTCGAGATACAAAATGTTACAGAGAGAAAAAAAAAAGAGGACTAAATATTCACAGCAAAAGGGTGGGGGGATAATATCAAAGTAGATCACAGATATTTCGTGATCCTTTTCGGGTTCCTATGGATTTGATTCAGTCAGTCTCCATCATCCCACCCAACCATATCACACCATCACTGATTCACTTCTCTTACAGTCTTTTATAGAATCAGTATCAGTATCTGTGTTCGTATCCTCTCTGCAAGATCTTCTTTACCTCGCCTTGCAGCTGCCTGCGGGCATTTCATGGATTTTGGACCGCCTAACTTAACAAGATTGAAATCAACATGAGACACATTGCCATAATTTTTGTGTAATTATTACTCTTGACTTTCTTTAAAGGATTTCATGGCACTGTTGAGGTAATAATTAAGGGCAGATTTGAATCTTGATAGTCGACTCAAAATTAAATACTAGAGTCTAAAGAACTTTTTTTTTTTTTTTGCCAAAATATATGAAGCTTCTTTGTTAGCTAAAATTAGCATTCACCTACCATGAACATGGACACCTAATTTATTATCATACTATCCTTTCAAGCAATGGCTAGGTTATACCACATAACCAAATTACACCTCCCCACTTAATTTCTTTCATTTCTATGGGGGCTAGAGAAATTATGTCCCATGATTGTGTTTTTAATATAAGGTTTTTTAGGTTCATCTCTTTTCTTTTATATATATATATAGAGAGAGAGAGAGAATCTTAAGTCAGTTTACACGCACTCATCTTTACATCTTGAATAGAACTTGCAAAACAAGACTTACACTTTATGGTCTGTGGCTATCAATATTAGAAGGTGAAGAGAGTCAAATTAAAGATCACATAGTGTTTCTTAGCCCGCATCCACTTTACCAATTCAGCCACTCATCGTTGGTTACTTCCATCTCTTTTCTTTCCTTCTATTTTTTTTTTTTTTGTAAAAAAAATTTGACACATTGATTTTTTTTTTTTTTTGTAAAAAAAAATTGACACATTGATTTTTATTTTTTTATCAAATGTAAGAAATTGACACATTGATTTTGTTACCATAAGATCTACAGAAAGTATAATACTAATGATCCTAAATGATATGAAATGATTTTCAGATTGGTTAACACGATCAAAGCTTTACCTGGAAGATCCAATTTCTTGACCATATAAAATCTCCATCTCACAACTGGACAGATTTGGAGATTAATCACTTTGGACTATAAAATATGTGGCCAATTTTTTAAAATTTGTTTTCAGGAGTACAGAATCTTTGTAGTCTGATCATGGTCATTTCAGCATGTTGGAGAGCCGGAGCATTTGTTGATTAAGGGTTAGTGTTATTAACAACAAAATCCAATGTGATTCCCTCCTTCACTCTCTCTGTTTTGGTGCCCAAAGACAAACAAAATAAATCACATATCTGTGATTTCACAGCCAGTTCCTAGCTAACACACCTCCCGCTTGAGTGGCGATTCCTTTTATTGCCAAGCCATGCATGTTTTCTTTCCTTACCTTCTCTCAATTGCCATAATTATGTAGCCGAGCCCTCTTCCTTTCTTGGCCATTCAATACTCGATGATTTCTGGCAACAACATCAGATGATGCTTCTCTGCGAAGATTCTATTACACGTCTTTAAGCACTCAAACGTCTTGCAAGGAATTGAGAAGGGTGTCCTCGAGGCTTGTGGCATTGGATCCAAGCCATGTGGCGTGAGACCCACGTAGGGCCTGCTGGGCAGAACAAACAGCATTATTTGGATTGACATGACCATCATCCGAGAATCCATTATGATTCATATATTAGATATGATATAATTCACAGATGCAGTGAGACTAAAGATTTCCTGCGTTCTCAAACGTCCTGGACTAAAGATTTTTTGTGAGAGTGATATGAGATAACTGGCCTTGAGCTTCGCATGCACGATTTACAGTCACAAATGCAAGATTTACTTCCAATTCAGAAATGCCTGAGATAAGGGAAAAATGAAGGAAGCACCTTCAAATTGAAATCCGAAACGATCTTGCATTCTATGCATGTATATATAAATAAAGGATTTTTTATCGCTTGCAAAGCTCTAGCGTGAGCATACAACAGGGCTCTTTTTTTTTTTCTTTTTTTTCTGAGTGAACGAGGAAATATACTGCCTCGAACGGAGTCATCTTAAGAAAACCCATAACAATAAATAAGTGAACTAGTGTGTGCGCCCACTGGTGTGGTGGCCGTTCCCTGCATGCATGGTAATGGGCACATTGGCCAGCCAATCTGCAACACAGATTTGCCTGTGGGCCCTGTCTTCTCGAATCCATCGTCATGGATGGAGCAAATTGGGAAAGGGGACTTCATGAGCTATCAAGAATGGTTGGCCATTTTCTAGAATGCGTTCCAGTACAAAGTACTGCACCAAAGAGAGGGACGGAGATTACATAATTTCTGAGAACGATCGGAGCAGGATATAGGATTCCCTGTAGGAATACTGGAAAAGATTTAAACGGATTGCTCATTATGCCTAAAAAATAGCCGCATTCATCAATTGACACGATATATTCATCATTAATGAGTCAAGACAACAAAATTTAACTTAATACAACAGTCAACAAACTGATTAAAATAAGACTTCGTTAAATATTTTCAAAAGACAACTGAATGACAGTTTACATGTGTATCTTCTCATGTAAAGTTGAAATATGAACCTCGAAGTGGTAAGCCGCATGGCGTTTTTAAGGTCCAATTGATCATTTGCATCATTTGATGCTTGCCTTCGGGATGGATGATGTACAAGGCCCACCAGATGTCATAAATGGTATTCCCTTAAATGTGGCCACACCCTTATCATCCGAGAAAAGATTCTGCGTCCATGAAACACCCATGATCAAATAATGATACTCTTAGGATTCCTATAACAAACTTTAAGGAAAGACAATAATTGCACAACTGATGATCACAACATTAATGGCTAGGTATGACAACCATGCATCAGAACTGTCCAATCATCTCTTTCAAAGTAACCCAAAAACTTGACTTGAAACTTCTAGCAATTCAGAAACCATATAAAAGCAAAAGCAAGCTATAGACTAAAGTAATGACTTGCTGGTGCAAAGCATTTTACAAAATCCACAGGAAAGAAAGTATGATCGGTATGTCTTATATTTCAAAAGAGAGCCATGTCAAGAATTTGACTATTCTAAATTGCTTTTGCCATTGAAAATACTTTTTTAGAAATATAGTGTTTTTTCCATATGTTCATTGTTTGACGAATATATCATGTTTTTCGAAAAAAATATGAGGGCATCAAGCATCACGTCATGTAATTAATTGAACCTGTTTGCAATGGGCAAAAGCGAACTGAACTGCATCATCCAACTGACTAATTCACAACCATGATTCTAATAAATGATCAAGAATTTAAACTGCAAGTGCATATCAAGAGGATGCACATAAACCTATAACAAAAAAATACGTAAGCCTGAACCTCATACCGGTGTTATTTTCTCTAACTGCTTCTTTTTTGGGTTAAGAACATCTTCGGGCTTACCGTCAATCCTACATGAAGACATTTAACATTTATGCATGGGAAAACATTATTGCAGTAGAAGATTTTTTATTTCTGAATAAGTAAATCAAGAGAAAATAATAGAAGATCCAGCCCAAAAAAATACGTTTGCTGTAAAAATAGGTTACACTATGATTATTGCAGCCAAATGCATGCATATAAGCGATGTATAGACACTAGGCATCACAGTTCACCATTCCTAATTTTGAGAATCATAATGGCACAGCACTTTGTCATTTAAAAGCACTTTGACTGCCCAAAGTCAAAACAATTCCAAGACCAATGACTGGTGCCCCTCATTTTCTCTCTACTGATTTGTGAAAATGAAGTTTCTCCAATATAAGTGGGCTTATACAAGCCTGCTCCCATTCACATTCATGCCAAATGGTGGCAGTGCCATAAGTGGCAACCTTGCAACAATAAGATGTTTTTCATTATCAAAAAAAAAAAAAGGAAAAAAGAAAAGGTGCCTTGCCTCTCTAAAAGGTGCATTGCCGATTATGAGAAGACAATTCAACAGTACCCTTGTAAAATCTACATAGCAGTATATTGTAGTGACAACAAACTATATATTCAAAGGGCAGAGGTAACATTACAGGACTAGCTCGTTTTAGCTTCTTCCTCTTCGTTTTTTTTTTTTTTTTGGATGTGATAAAAAATTAGTGTTGAAAACCAAATAGCATTTTCTAAAGTGTAAACTACAGATTCTTGTTCCCCATAAATAATTCAAAACAGCAAAGCATTAAGTATCAAAACGGTTCAATTATGATGTAGTTCCATGTAATCTTTAAATACATACCCCAAGAATGACACACGTTCTCCAACTTTGGCACCTTCTGGAGGCAGCAAAGGCTCTACAATGGTGTGATCCTCATTCGATGCACAAAGGACCTGAAAAATTAGGAATTACAGAATGCATATGGACATCACCGCACTCTTCAGTCATTGCAATCTTAAAAAAAGGGGATATTCTAGTGAAATGACAAAGCACAGACATAGACATTGTAAGCAACTCGTCAGAATAAACTAACACTTCAATCATAAAAAAAAAAAAAGCATTCATAAAGAAATAAACATGATTAAGGATTTAACAACATTGTTATGTAATAGCTGAAGCAAGTCATTTCAAATTCAAAATTGGCATTTTTCCACAATTAGAGTGCAAGTACCATAGAAGTTAGATATATTGCTTTGTTCAAAAGTATTTTACAAACTTAGCTGGTATCACAAGCATCTTGATATGATTGAACAATTCGATTTTTTAAAATTTGTTTTTGCCTTCCATTTGTAAGCTGTATGTAATTGAAGATGAACAAGTGGATCAATTAGAAGACTTTTTTTAAGCTGGAAGAGTATAATAATTTTCATTTGAGATGAAACAATCACAACACAACAACCTGACCATTGTACAGTTATTTAAGATAGCATAGCGCTACCAGCAAGACACAGTAAATTCTAACCATATTGTCCAGTTTTATTTTCTTGCAAAGAGTTTCAGGAATGAAAAGGAAGAATCTTGAAATAAAAGCGAGGACCCGGTTCAACATAGAATATAAAAGGCATTGATTAAAATGATAATGTCAAATTAAAAGTTACCAGGCCTTCTGACATCACATCTCGTAGCTTTCCAGGTTTTACATTTGTAATCAAGACAACTCGACGGTTCTTTATAGATGAAACAAACACCAAAGAATGCATTAGCAACTAAACTTCATAACTTCATAAAAGCAATCCAAAGAGCAGAATAAAATGAAGTGACATATTATTTAAATCAAACTCAACAAATCATCATACCGTCAAGTCATCTGGACTATAAAACTTCGCCAAACCACTGACTACCTGCCTCAATTTAGCATCTCCAATATCTATCTCCTCAACCAGTAAACTGAATCATTAATCAAAAATTAAAAATATCATGATCATTTTCCTTCAAAAAAATGATGAAGTACAAACTCAGAGATTAAAAGAAAGGAAACTGTCAGCATACCTGTCAGCAGAGGGATGCTTCCATGCTTTGCGAATAAGGCCAACTTGTATATTCAGTAAACTGACACTTAGTTCTTTGTCTTTCTCACCTGCTTCTGTTTCAGATGGTTTCTTCTTCTCTTGAGCAGATTCTTTTTTTCCAGTAGACTTATTCTATAAGTTCCAAAAACACCAAAATGATACTCAGCAAGAATTGCACCAAGATTAAAAATAATAGTAACAACAACAATATGCACACAAATTGAAGGCTAGGGCCGTCTCCAAGCAGATTTTAAGACCCTTAAATAAGAATTATAAAATATCAAAAGCACTTATTAGGAATTATTGAAGTTTGACCACCCATGCACTCACTCACAATAATGCAAAGTTCAAATAAAAATGTTATCTAACCATTACAACACAAGTCAATTTGGAATAAAATGAAATAGCAAAGTCATGCAGGAGATCAAATATAGTACAATATAGTACAATAAGTTTTCTATTCTTGTCATGAGCTGTTATCACCACGCCAACTGCCAAGCAACTTGAAAAATACTATTGTTCGAATAAATAAACCAGGCAACATCCAGTAAAACTGTAAAAAATAAAATTTACACGTGGAGAAGCTCTATGAAATCCCTTATTTATCAGTGAAGAAAGAAAACATTAACTGGGATTAAGTAAAGTCTTTTGGAGCTGTTATCACATTGTTGACATTTCTTGTGTTTATCCTGATAGTTTTCAGCAGTCCAGACCTGAGCTAGTACATGGCAGCCAAATCTTGGAATTATATCACATATTTTATCAAGATTCCATGATAAGTTTAGGGACTTAATTTTCAGTGTTAAAAAATCAAACTTAACGAAGTTAATGATAAATTATACTTTGAAAGTAAGAAAAGTTAATCGACTAATTAAAACCCAATTTTTGTTCAAATTCTAAACTTAGAGAGCTTTTGTTTCTCCAAGAAACTCATTCCTCCAACTTTAGACTGCTAATGCCAGGTAATTCTCCGCTAATTTTCAGTAATCTCTAGCACATGCCACTGAGTTTGTTAAAACTTAAAGAGAGCATGCACACATGTCATCAATGCAGGCATGGAAGTATGTTCAAATAAACCCCTTGTGTAGAATTTTAGATGCTAGTTATGACTTCAATAGACTGTGATTTTGCACGTTTTCTTAATTCTAATGTTTTTTCCTGCTGTCATGATGAAGCTACTCAGTAGGATTCTTCATAATGACAGGACAGACAGAGTTGTGCACAGGAAAAACAGTAAAACTACAGCCTGAAGGAGAAAGAAAACTTTGAATACATTAATAACAGGTATTGAAAGCTAGAAAAAGAAAGACATACCCCAGCATCACTTTTCTTCATGCTTAGGTCTGCTTCTGATTTTTCTTTGTTCTTACTGTTTTCCACGGTCTTTTTTGCATTTGTATCTATTTCTGATTTAGCATCACCTTTTATTCCCTGCAACTAGAATTAAATCAAGAACACAGAGAAATAAGCCACTAGATGCTCTAACTCAATCAATGGCACATTAGGCAGCAATAAGTTGCGCAACTATTCCATTTAAAATATGAATTTACATGTTAGAATCAATAAGCTGTCCTTTCCTAGAATTTTTGACATGGGATGCACAAAGAAAATATCAAATTCCCAAAACCACACGTACATCAATTCCTCTTCAACCTTAATCTTCTTGCCTTCATTTAAAAAAAAAAAACAGTAAAAAAGAATGAACAGGTGATGTATATTGATATCAAGATAAGCTACCTGAAGTTCGAATGCACCCTTTTCTAGCAAAACCTTTTCAAATAGTTTCCCAAAGTCTACCTTGTTCTGCAAAAAAATAAAATAAATTAACTAAACATTTTTCGAACATGAAATCAAGTACCTAATTTATTTTACAAACACAAAAATTTGAGAGCCGTTTATTCTTCTTTGATTGTACAACTGTGGCTACCAGGTGCAGGTGTGTAGATTCAAGTTCTGACAGAATTGAGAAGAAATAACAATTTTCCCAAAAACTATTCATTGTTCTTTCTATCAGTTGGATCTAGTTTCTCAATCACATACCAAAAGCCAACCACTTGACCCCTCAGCATAAAGTTATTCAATGGTCAACATGTATGTACAGTGATAAGAGTAGTCAAAGTCAAACTGCAAAACCTGTATGTACAGTGATAGTGATAAGAGTAGTCAAAGTCAAACTGCAAGCCTTTGAGGCTTTGACACTCCAAGTCAATTACATGCCACAAGATATCTGTTACTTGAATCAATAAGCTGCCAAACATGACAGGGACAATCAAATCAGACAGAAGCTCATCACACACAATATAGTAACCTAAACAAAGCAGCTCTCAATAGTTACATCACTTAACTGGTGCCTAGGCAATAGTTCGTCTATGTCAACAGATAGCAATTAGGAAATTTTCTTTTAATACACATCATGAACCAACACCCATGACGTTTAAAAATATGAATATGGTCTTACCTGGATGTAATCCATCCATCTCATTACATGCACCAACTTTTCCCTCTCTAAATGTGAAAGGCCAATCTAGCCATAAATAACCAATCAAAAGTCAGAAGAATTTCAAACATGTGGGTAAAGTGTTTATCATGTGATAAAACTTTTGTACAGGGAAAAAAATATATGTATACATATATTTCTTGACTCTTCCGCTCTGAATTTTGAAGCCTCCTCCCTTCAGATTTGAGAAGCAATAAATTCAAAGAAGAGGGCAACCAAAGCAATTTTGAGCAAAGCACAAAGGATGCGACTGATTCATGAAAGCATTGAAGTTTGCCATGCCAAGTTGTTTTAAATTGTTTTCAACAACAGAGAAGGAAAAAATGAAAATCCATGCTGGAAATAAAATTTTTATATAGTAACTTTATGATTAGTGACTGGGACAACAAACGTGAAAGGATAATTTATCATGAAAGGAATAGAATGCATACCACAGATGAATGTATTACTGAAAAAACTATAATATCAGCTTCAGAGGGTGTCAATCCATTGCCCAAAAGCACAGAATTCAGAGCCAAGTCTTTGTTCAATCCACTGAGAGCATCAAAGCATGTCGGAGAATCTATTGGAAAAATCTCTGCAAAGCTTATCCATTTCATCACCTATAACCAGAAATTACTTTTTTAGATCAAGAAACCAAACAGGGACCCCTAAGAGTCAAGCATGGCAAAGAGCAGCATCCCACAGTAGCGCAGCTGTGGTACTCATAACAAACCAAAGAAACCTTACCTCCTCACTTTCTTTTAATGGGGACCTTTTTCCTGATGACTTCAAAATGTTCAAGTACAGACTCTTAATATCATACTCTCCAAGGTCACCCAAAGGAGCTTCCTACATTAATCAAGTATTTTAAGCTGTTAAGTATGCAACTACCAAATAGAAAAACCCCCAAATTCAACAATGTCAAGACATCTGATTTTCAAGCATTCAGAAAAGAAAAGTATTCCTATCAAGACCCATTACCAAACAATGCCGAAAATATGATGAAAAATTGACCAAATTTATAAGAATTGAAACAAATAGTAAGATGCATTGTCAACGCATTATATAGAAAACTTGACGAGTTTATTTGAAGTAAAAGGGCAACAAAAATACGTGTCAGCAAAAAAAAAAATTCAAGAAAAAAGAAATGGGCATCAAAAGGAGCAAAAATTACCATTTCAAGCCAGTAACCTTCCTTTCTAGATACCCAGAAGAAAAGATTAGCATGCAGTTGTCTAAAGAATCGCAAAATCCTTTATTTATTGATCACCAATTATCCCAGCAGTAATTAAAATTTAAAGAAAAATTAAAAACAGAGATCATAGATTTTGTCAAGTAATTGAAAAGGAGTTGTTGTTTAGGATCTTACAGGAGATAAAGAGAGGTGCTTGCTAAGAGCTGATGATATTATTTGCTTTTTTTGCAAACCCATGCTTCTTCTTGCTTCTTCTCTCTTTTCCTGTGTAATTTTGCTTTGTGTTTTCGGGGGCAAGAGTGAGGTCGGGTTTCAATAGGGTTTTGGGAGGGGTTTCGTGGGCTTGCAATAAATCTGGTCCATTAGTATTGCACTCAGGACTCGTTAGCATTGTATTTCTAATTCTACCTTTTTAAAAAACAAATATTTAAAAAAAAAATAAACTATTGTTAAATTTTTATTTATTTTAAATTCATTTTTTTAATGTTATTATATCATTTTACTATGCTATGTTAAAAAAAATTTCAAAAATTAAAAAATATATTATTTTATAATATTTTCAAGTAAAAAATAATCTGAAAAACAATTATTATTATATTTTTAAATCTTGAGAAACAATTATTATTATATTTTTAAATATTTTAAAAAAACTCTTGGTATTTAAAAAAAAAAACTTCATGTAGGTACCATCAAAAACAATGTTGCTGCCAACTATATGCTTTTATAATTTATTTATTTATTTTGAATTTTTTAAATTTTTTGGATTTCAAGTGGTTTTTTGTTAAATATTATAGCATCAGGAGGATGACTTTGAAAGGATAGTAGAAAAATTTTTTAAAAAAATGGATTGTTTGTTAGTCCTTACATTTTGAAACCCTTTCAAAATCATAGGAACAAGTTTGGAAATTTCATAAAATTACGGTGGAAGGGGAACATTGTTGGAACAAAACTACAGTTGATAATTAAAATAATAAATATATAAAGTTAATATTTTTTTATTTAAAAAAAATATTTTTGACATCAAAATATCAAAATATTAAAAAACACCAAAAAAATATTATTTTTAAATAAAAAAATTAAAAATATTTTTTAAAATATAAAAACAAACAGGGTCTAAAAAAGCAAAGCAATAAATCACCTCATGCAAGCACATTTACCCTAAAATTCAAATAAGTTTGATTAAAATAATGAATATAAAAATAAATTTATTTTTGAAATGTTTGTATTTTTAAAATAAAAAATAGGAATATATATCTTTAAAAACAATATTTATGATTTTTTTATTCCTAAATTATTTTTATACAAAATTATTAATTCTAAAATTATCCAACTAAAATATATAAAAATACTACTGATTATTATTATAGTCTTAAAATTTGACTCGGGTTACGTGTCTAAAAAATCAACTCAAGTTTATTCAAATATTTTGTTTATAAAAATTAAAATGATATTATTTTAATTATTTTTTTAAAATGATTGTTTTATTTAGGTGTTGATTTGGTTTTACCTTACGTCACAAGTCGACTTAGAATTGTTAATTAAGTTAATCAATTTGTTTTTAAATTCCATATAAATTCTAAATCAAGCAAGTTTTGAATTGACTTGTAAAATTAAACAGACACAAGTTTTACTATTATTACTAATTTGAGGACTTGCAATTTATCACGAGGCACGCACCCAGCGCAGTTAGAAATCTCGTCCATTAGCTAGTTTAGTACTCACATGCTTGCGCTTGTCAACATTTGCATACGAAAAGGTGCATCTTCCGCGCGCGCGCGCGCAAAAAAAAAAAAAAAAAAAAAAAAGGAGGACATTTTACAAGTGAGAGAATGGCATATTTTAGACTTTTCTTCTCAACCACCTGTCTTCTTTTCATGTTAGTTCGTATAGAAGTTTGAATTATAAGATAAAAGGTTGGCGCATGTCCTTATTAAAAGTGAGAAACCAAGCGGTTAAATGAACACATCGAAGTGTTTGTTACTATATTTTAAAAGTATTTTTAAAAATATTTAAAAAAATATATTTTTTATTAATTTTAAATTATTATATTTTTAGTATTTTCAAATTATTTTAATGTGTCGATGTTAAAAATAAATTTTAAAAAAT